ACAGACATTGTCTATTTGTGTCTGTAGAAGTTTACTAAATTCACCTGAAGTTAGCCAAAGATAATGCCTCTTTTGTATTTTTACATAACATTTTAGTAAACGTAAAACACGTTCATATTCAATGAATTTGACGATTATCCGTTTGTTATTTATTTGTATATCTTTTGTGTTTACATCTTGGGTAGCTTTCAAAATGAAAAACTCCAGTGGCGATGACATTACAGAACTTTCCAGTTAGATACCTCAATATATTCTGAATGTTTTTAATGAGGGGTCTGTTTTTTATTTATTATTCAAAGCCTAATTTACAATATTATTGCTTGAACTATTATTATTATTATTATTATAATAATTACCCAAGGTTTAGATTTCTGCTCCAGAAAAAGTTGCAAATTACGGCCTCATTTGCACATTGTAACATACAACTTAAAAAATCTTAAAATACAAAAAAGGACATCTTATTGCAAGTTAACAACTCTGTAAATTCCAGGGTTATATCATTTAAAACGTGTTACTTATTCAGCTTAAGAAAAATGATACATTGTCTGTCATCAGAAACTTTGTATGTAAACCACTCTCATGCAAATAACATGAATAAAAGGATTCCTGTCGAGTCATTGTTTGCTGACGGACATAATGGGGTTACACAATACAGAAGCAACAGCAGCCAAGTTAGTGCTCTAAAACATCCAGCAGGGGGCGCCACTTCCAGCACGCAGCCACCAGGACAGGCCAGGAAGAGTTCAAAAGGACAAATGTGTCAAAGTCTTAAGCGAAAAAAAACTGAGGCTTCCTTCCTCTGCTGTACAGACTACCGTGTATTCATGTATAACTGAGAATATGTAGGTGTGAGTGTGTCTGTGCGTGGAAACAAACAAATAATCATAAAGAACAAAGACAGTTGATCAAAGTACTTTCAAGGCTTTGAGGTAATTACATGTTTTGCATAATTAAGAGACAACACACAGTATGGTAATGTAGGTTGACACACACAACAATGTGAGTAATCTCTCGGGAGGGCTGACCTACTTCTGTGGTTTATCAGGGTATATGCAGGAATCCTGAAGTCAAATGTAAAACCTTTTAAGACCTTTTTTCAAGACCCTTTCCATACATTTTAAGACCTCATCGCCACTTCGAGTTTTAACCGGTTACATTGGCCACACAAGCACATACAGTATTGATTGTCCTTCCTCCTTATCTTCCAACCATTTGGACTCAAACTTGCATTTCCCCATAACGATGTTGTTTAGCAACCGGCGTAAACAGACCTTTGCGCGCTATCAAGCAGTGAGCGTGGGATGTCCTGTTCAGATGACGTCAAATCTACCTACTCATAACATCAGATATTTATTTTAAAACGGCGTCTACTGGCTCCTACAGAGTGTTGCATTATGGGTTATTTGTCATGTAGGATCTTGGCTAGCAAGTCAGTCCCCATAAATGTTCACGCTAAGGTTTAATGTGTTTACTTCAATCTTTGCTACAGAAACAGACCAGGAACTAAATAATCTGTCAGACTGCCGATCCAAACTTTTTTTGTATATATTATTTAAGAGTTTGAAGATGCTAAAAGTGACAGAAATGCTTACAGTTGCTTTCAAGAGCCTTACAGGAGAGTTTGTGTGCGTAGGTAACTTGAAGCTTTAGATGACAAACACACAGTATTTCATGTTTAACGAGAGAAAAGGCTTCAAGTGTGAGGACCATGTTGTTCTCACACTCTCACTTTCCCAACATGACTGGTATGAAGGCGTTTATGTGTGTCATTTCAAATATGGGTCAATACACAAACATGGAGACAAGTACATCTCATTACTGTATTAATAATATATAGAAACAAACTTAAAGTCACTTCCTTAGCTGTCAATACAAGAACACAGTTTGCAAAGCTTTTAAAAGAGTAAAACTCTGAAAGCAATTTCACCTTAAAAAAAGAAATTCCAGACACCTGAAGCCTTCATGTATAAATTATTACTATAAATGCAGTTGCAAAACAATTAAGTTTAAATAATTTGTTTTTACCCAGAGCATATTCATCCTTGTTTATTTTACCACACGGGATAGTTTCAATTCAAAGTTTAAAATATTTTTGGAGTAGATGAAAGTCCAGATTATGTTGAAAAGATTTTCCAAGGACTATGTTCAAGTCAAGCCTCGTCTTAACCTTGAGAGCATAACCATTTAACAATGTCGCAAACACAGACAAAATCAACAAAGAAATACAAAATGGAAGTTTTGATTTACAAAATGAAATCATATCCTAGCTACTTTCCCTTCAAAGTAAAAGACTCATGTTCACTGATGACCTTATTCACTTATTTCCCTTCCCCATGCAGAACACATCATTCATTTCACACTCACATTGTCAGCAGGCTGCAGTGTGTGTGGCGCCCTGATGGGGCCGACATCCTGTTTCCTGTCAGCTGACCCTTCCCACTTCCTGCTGTCCTCCTCCCTCTGTGGCTCCAACCTCTGAGAGCCCTATTGGTCAAGAGAAAAACAGTCAGTAAGACAAGGAGACATTGATTCTCTTGAAATTGTTCTTCTACGTTACTGGATGCCAAAACAACCACCAAATCTGTACTTGCAATGTTTCCGTGGATAAAATACATCTGTATCAAAGCTGAGGACAGTATGGTCACATAGCTGCATAGTTCCTTTTAGATGCGACTGGTGATTGAAAATACTCTGAGCTGGTTTATTTCTGAATCGACACTCTGCAGTTCCACCTCTAAAGACAACTTTGCAGTTTCCTGTTTAATCAGATTACCCTGCAGTCAATCTGTTTATTTCTGACCCGAGTGGTGCATTAGTCCGTGCTTACTTTAGACAATTCCCCTGAACCACTTTTTGCATGCTTCTAAGCTGTTCTGCTTTCAGTCAAATAATTAAAAATCTATATTTTGAGTGCTGTAGTTCTTTCTGCAGCACAGATGCATGCATGAATCGCTGCAAAACAACAAGGAAGCATAACTGTTACAGTTACACAATGACAACACAGAGACACAAACCACGTGGTCGTAAAACTACTACAAAAGACCCAAATTGACTCCGAAGAGGCAATAAGTGACTACCAAAACCCCCCACTGTGACCGACTAGAGACAAAGACCACAGAGGGATGCTAACCACTACAAAGCATCACAACACAACAACAAAAACAAGCTAAACAGCTAGAAGCTCTGTGTGTCATGCTCCTATTAAGAAGAGCAGAGGCCTGTGCTACGAAGCTGGTTCAACCTAACCTGGATATGTTTGAGTTAGCCGGTTGGCCTAATCCAAAACATACGCGCTCTCGCTAAACGGTACTACGACGCGGGTTATCAAGTGGATCGCTCAAGCCAGCCGTGTCCTATCTAGTTAGGTGCGCGTTCACATGAGAGGGGTGGTATTTGGAACATTCGACCAATCACAAACATGGAGAAGCGTACTGACAGCGCAGCGTCATACTTCCTGAATGAAAAGTCAACTATAATATTAGACATATGAAGAAGTTAAACTTTAAACATCCATGACTTAAACACTTTATCCAGGATCAAAGCCGCCTGCAAGGTGAATACAGCTGGTAACAGAAAAAGAGTTTGAATGCGTACATTAACAGGTTTATGATATCATTGCCCCGTCTAAGAGACGATCTGACTTTAATTACATTTGTCTCGAGTGTTTCTTCAACTTAATGTGTTGCTTAAAATAATACTTCTGCATACAGTATGTGACACTGTGAGTGTTGCACGGCCAGATACGGCTCAGCTGACTCAGATAAGGAGATATATGATACATTATGATGTGATATGCAGCGGACTGTACTTAATGTTACTCTGATCCGGTTACTTATGTTGTGGCAGATATGTAAGTAAACTTTCTTAAAGCTAATGTTCTAATAGTCAGATTGCTCTGAAGATGGGAGGTGATATTCTATTAATGTTCACGTTCACACAGTCGGTGATTTTTGCCGGCCGTCTTTCCTGCAACGGCAGCTTTTCTGTATTTCCTCTCTCCTGTAATATGACTTGATCGCTTTAAACTCTGCACACTGAGCTCTGATTGGTCAGCAGGCAGTGCTTTCACTGAGTTGAGCTCTTAGCCTGCAACCTAACCTGGTCCCGACCAGGTTAGCCGCACAGCATCAGTTACCATGGAGATCTAGCCCGCTAAAAAGAGAACCAGCTTCGTAGGACCGGAAACCCAGAGTTTCCCCTGAAGTTAGCCGGCTAAGCGAAAATCCTGCTTCGTAGCAACAGAAACCGTGGAANTTTAAGACCCTTTCCATACATTTTAAGACCTCGTCGCCACTTCGAGTTCTAACCGGTTACCTTGGCAACACACTTTACCTCACATTTACTATATACAGTATTGATTGTCCTTCCTCCTTATCTTCCAACCATTTGGACGCAGACTTGCATTTCCCCATAACGATGTTGCTTAGCAACCGGCGTAAACGGACCTTCGCGCGCTATCAATCAGTGAGCGTGAGATGTCCTGTTCAGATGACGTCAAATCCAACGGGATGCCATAAATAAACTACACAGAATCACACTACACACCTACGCAATGATTACATTCAGGCAGACTGTAGAATACAACCTCTTTTGACAATTTATATACTTATTGAAAACAAGCTACAAAATGTAAAACCTTGGAAAATGCCGTTTAATACTTTTTAATAGCCTTCATTTTCGCTAAATTGATTTATCAACTTTTAATACTTTTTAAGACCCCCCGGACACCCTGGTATCACTTGTATACTCTTATGGCACTACTTCTATTCTATTTTATTGTATTAACTTGTATCTGTTTTATTGTGTTGCACTGCCTGGGACCTAAGATTTTCATCTGCATAACTACACTGTAGCTATGTACGAATGACAATAAAAGCCTTGAATCTCCACAGTATGGGTCTATAGGTGTAAGTGGCAGGTGCTCAGTAAAAATGTGTGTTGTGTGAGCTTGTGTAGAAGGTGAGAGGCCAGGGAGGGGTTTCTGGCTCAGCAAACAGTGATCACACACAGAACAAACACCTGATGTGCGTTGATCTCCGTATTCGGCCCAGCGGCTCCAGTCCGGGGTGCAGGTACTGAGCGTCCTTGGGGTTTGTGATGAGCACGGCTGGCCACTGCTCAAACTTCAGGTCGGAGAAACTCAGCAGGTCGTTGTCAAAGGCCAGAACCCTGTACCTGGAGACAGGAGTGAGACGGGTTATTGCAGGAATCAAGTTAAAGACCTTTTTAATTTACTCAAAGTGCAATTTAATACATACTCACAATATGACAATACAAGGGACTACCAGGGCCGATATGGCCTTGAATTATTTAGACACCATTTTTCAGTATTTCCCACAAGCATAACAATAATTAAAAGGATATATTGCATTCAATGAAATACAAAGTTGACCCGCATAAACAGTATCATCTAAAATTATAATTTAAATTAAGTAAAGTGTTTGTAACAGCTATTATAGTTTCCTACTGAAACTCAATAAACATTGATTTAACAACTTTTAACATAATCCACTGTTGTTTTATTATACAATAGGCATATGATGACGACCTGCGTTCAAATAGGAAATCGTTTGACCAAGATGAAAATATTTTAGACTTTTGTCCAATTCATTCAAGACCTTTTAATAATAATAATAATAGATTACATTTGTATAGCACCTTTCAAGGGACCCAAGGCCGCTTTACGTGGTCAACAAACAAACAAACAAGATGGGAAAATTATAACTTGTTGTTTTCTTTCGTACCTACGGTTGTCCATCCAGTCGCCCAGCTCCAGCTCCAGGGTGCCTGTGCAGAGCGGGGCGCGGTTGGTCAGCTAGACCAACGTGATGGTGTTGAGGTGACAGCCAGAGGGTAGAGCGTCCTTAGTCTCTGACTACTCCATCCTGAGCCTCGACGGCTTGCCTGATGTAACAGGGTACAGACGGCTGTCCAAACTGAACTGGTGTTCGAATCTTGTTCTTCGATTCCAGTCGTCACAAACTGAACGTTTGACAAGGTGAGGTAATTTAGTAAGTTTATTTTAATTTGCACCACCCTGTAAAGAATAAATCTTAGAAGATTAACGAAAAAAATTTAGTGAAAAAGGTATAGAGAAGATTTAGTTGTACACAGGGGAGACCATTTCTCGAAGAACTTTCAAAGTCCTTTTTTTTCTAGAGAGAGAAAAACAGGACTAGGTAAAGATATGTTTGACAAGACTTGTATTTGACTAGTCTAAAAACCGGAGAAATACTACATGTATTGTTACAAAACCGAACACATTGGTAATCGGTTAGTGGTTGTTCCATTGGGGGGGGAATAGGGACTTAGAGGTGGTAACTCAAGAAAAATTGTTTAGAGAGAGTCTCCCCCGCACCCCTCCCCGAGGAATAAGAGTAGATTTCATTGTCTGTCTTTTAGTAGTGAACCTTTGGTCCCGACTTGTCTCCCACTAAGACCTACGACGTTATAGACAAACCACAAACCTCCGGTTAGTCTCTGTACAAGTACAGATATAGACTCTGAATGTTATATAACTACTTTTTGTCATATTATCCCTGAAATTTGTATAAATGTCGTCGTCAACCGATAAGTGCTGTTACATGAATATAAGAATGTACACCACTAGGAACCAATCTAGACGTCATCGCATAGACACACCGGTGGACAGTGCGAACGCCGCCGGACTACGTAGAGTGT